GAGGAGTCCCACAATAGGACGAAACGACTGTTCAGTGCTTCCAGGTTTCCAACGGTGGTCTAGCATCAATCGGCTCATGATCTCAATCAAATACTTAATAATCTCCACAACCCCTATATACTGGTACTTAATTATTTCTACGCAGATAAATACATTTGATAGTATCTCTTTCATTTAATGCTTTTTGTTTTCATTTTTACAACATACTTTCTATGATTAAGACATTGGTGTAAATGAGATCTCAGTCTAATTTAAACAAGAACAATAATAATAATAATAAACAAGTTGTTGAAATTCAATTTCATTTATTATTATTTACGTGACAGTTTCTTTTATGATTAAGCAATTGGTTTGTTTTTCCCGCCATATTTTGTCTATTTGTTTTTTTTTTAATTTTTAACTAAACACACACACACACACTCACATCTGTGCAAAAACAAACAAACAATCAATTTATCAATAAATTTCAAAACGGAAATGTTTAGTCATGTGAATAATTTTTTTTTAAAAAACAAAGTTGTATGACAATTTATATTTACGATATGATAGATATAGTCTATAGATTATTTTGTTCCTTTAATTGTTATTCTAATATCCCTTTAAATCCGTATGAGCATATTCAATGGAATTTCTAGAATAAATATCAATATTAAAGAATGTAAAGCCATTTCGTTTTTAAAAAAAATAAATAAATAAACAACAAATTTCTGAGTAACATTTGACATTATTTCCCTATAATCATCATCCATAAATGGATTAGCTTATAAGCATATATATACACCTAGTGTTTAGTCATGAGTTAGAATAAGTAAAGAAAATCAATGGTAAATCCCATGTATATTTTTAATTAATTTTTATATGACTCATTTAATTCAATATTTTGATAACCGATTGAGATGGTCATGAATTATTATTTCATTATGAAATCCTTTTTTTTCCACCTCCAGCCCCCACCCCCTAGAAATAGATTTGTAGGTATAATTCAGGGCGTAGTAAATATATGTTTGAGTAAATCAATTAAACTTATTAGTTAATGTCATTATTCATCCAATTGCAAATGAAGGTTAATTTTATTTTTAAAATGTCAATACAGATTCATTATAAATAGTACGCTTAGGTCATAGGTAACTCACTTGTTTATATTGGATGCAAACACTAACCTCAAGCAATTTGGGAAATTAGGTTGTATAATAGAAAGTTATAAATTTGTGCAACATTTCGTAAGCATAGAGCAAAATGGATAATAATTAAGTATTATTTTGGTTGAGATCATGAATCAATTGATGTTAGACCACCAATGGAAACCTGGAAGCACTGGACGGCCGCTCGCGGGATCGTGGATGCGCACTGCTGAGGAGTCCCATACTAGGACGAAACGGCCGTCCAGTGCTTCCAGGTTTCCATTGGTGGTCTAACATCAATTGATTCATGATCTCAACCAAAATCTTAACAATCTCCACAACCCCCATACTGATAATTAAGTATTAGTTATCGAATAGATTTTGTAAATGGTGCAGTTCACAGACTAAATGGATTTTGTATTTCATATAGATCTTGGTAATATCAATAACGTAGGATTTAAACCCTTATAAATAAATTATTACTTATCCCTGTTGTAAAAACCAGTAGCTAGAAAATTAAATAAATAATTTATTTTAATAGTTGAATTCATGAGTCATTTGAAACGAAACCACCATGGAAAACCTGGAAGCACTAGATGGCCGTTTCGTTCTATTATGTGACTCCTCAGCAATGCACACTCAAGATCCCGCCTTACAAGATTCGAACTCAGGACTTACCAGTCTCACGAGTGAACACTTAACCTCTAGACTCATGAATTCAACTATTAAATTACTATAATATCCACGAAACCTTTCTTTGATTACAAACTTATTTATTACTTAAAACAATCAATTCCAGGAGCTCTTAATTGTTTTTCATTTCTATTATCCATATTAATGCTGTTATATTTTACAGTTATTTTAAACAAAGGATATTTCAATATTTCTTTTTCACTGTTGACTGATCTATATCTCTATGCTAGAATGAAACCTTGTTAATGGAATGTTAGATTTAAACAAGGAAGGTTTTTATGATTCTAAAGTTCTTTCAGCCTACTTAAAATCTAAAAAAAAGAACATTTTAACGTTACATTTGGAAGCTTTGATTAAATTGGTAAACTCTAAAGTTATTATTTAATTTATTATAGCCAAATTATTTGCGATTTTTTAATGAATTATCATTTTTTTTCAGAGAACTTAAGACAAATAAACACAATTAAATCTATTGAAGCATCGACAGATATAAAGGTTAATCATATGACATCAAGAAACAGAATTTTTTTAATCTTATATTCAAATTAACGTGGTATTTTTTTTAATGAGTCCTGTATATACTGTAGTGTCGGTTACTGTGTTAAACCCACATGACTTATTCTAGCTACTGGATCCATCCTTCTTGAGTCACGTTTTGACCTTGTTAATTATTCACTTATCAACTTTGAGTAGGATAAGATGTACACACACATACGCTCATATAAAAACAGTCATCACATATCGGTAGCTTAATTTTGTGTGCCTATAAACATTGATTAACGCTTGACTAAAGGGAGTTGGCTCACATGCTTTATCCACCACGCAACATTTTGTTTCGCTTCGTGCCTTTGATATTCATCCTGGATCAATGATTGTACAAAATATACGTATTCGGAAATCCATTTTCGTATTTGACTTATTTAATTCTGTTATTCACTAACACGAGTTAAGTCGGTGATTCTATACAAGGATAGACGACATGTGTACTTCAGTTACATTCATATGATCTAACTGGAGTCAAATCCCAGGGCCACAAAGTGGTAAGCCTGTCAACAACATCGTCCGATCTAATTGACGTCTAAATAAAAAGCTCCACTAAAATACCTTTTACTTCAACAAGTTCTAATGTAATTTTTAAAAAACTTTTTATTTATTTCTATGTATTAAAGAGACAGCTTATAAAATTCCTCTGATATGAACACAAAAATTACTTTTTTCAGTAGAAACTATATTCACAGTCGTAGTCTGATATTTCTTTCTTAAAGATTTTTTTAAAACCCCGATGAAATATATTCATTAGATTCCATATTTCAGCCAGTCAGTAAGCTACAACGTAAGACCAGGCACATATATGCACCGGTCCAAACTGCCACATCTCATTAGCACAACAAGATGAACACCGGATTGATAGAAGTAGTCAATTTAGTGGTAGTAATGTATAAAAGAAACATTATGTATAAGGATATAGTACAGGAAGAAAGAATTACGTCGTAGAAATAAAGATATAAAGCCATTTTAATCTCACGGTTAAAGGGACGACATGGAGCGTATATACCGACGCCATTTTGATCTATTCTGAGCCATGCCACACAGTCTCCATACATTGGTTACGATAGTCACGTGAACCTCAACCAAGTAGTTTGCATCTACCAACATGGCTCAAACTAGAAGTTAGTGACTTCAAGCACTGATGCCACGTTTTGGTTTGGCCGCCCCTAAGTTTCTCCCATCCGTCTCCCACACTAGTCAGGACTGCGCGTCGTGGTATTCGGTGTTCAGGCATACGTGACACGTAGCCCAACCATATCTCTAACAGTACTCAAAATCACTGTATTTATAATCAGTCTCGCGCTTCAATTTTTAATTACATATTTAGTCCAAATGAACATAAAAAGTCATTTTGATTATATTTAATAAAATGATCTAGATCGATAATCGTGAATCTATCGAACCATTAACCTAGTCATTATCATATTTATGTAGTTTGTCGAAATATCTTTCAAAATTGGATATAAATTCAAAAGAGACAATCACCAAGGTGAATTCTTTAGTGACTAATAACTTACAAAGCATGAAATTCATTGAAGAAATTTACTTTCGACGTACATATGTATATATATGAATGGGTTGTATAAAGTTAAATTTCATCATGTTCAACAATCTAGTTTAAAAGGAATTACCAGATAAATGTATGAAAAATATAAATATGAGCATAGAACTATATCGTGTTTAATGTTGATCTGGTCTGAAATGGATTTTAGGTCAAATAGAGTTTGAAAATCAGTATATGGAATAAATATAGATAATGAAGGATAAAAAACGCTACTGTATAATTAGTTATTATGACATATTTAGTTTCACTAATATATGAAATAACATAGTATAAGAGGCCGCGAAAATTACGAGAGAGCTAAGTAGGTTTTTTCATATACATAGAGATGAAGTACGAAACTTAAATCACGTTTAATGAGTCATCTTGGAATTGAGATGATTGTTTAACGATAAGCCTTCTTTTGACCGAAGCACGAAAATAGGTTTTGAACCTGATTCTACTTTTTAACGAGCATTCCCTATATAGTTTGGGAAATTAGAAGCCTTGATGCCTTCTGTAAATTCCGATTAACATTTTAAATGACTAAAAATGACTATTTAGTATTTCATTATTCGTCCATTTAGACTAGTTTACTGTTTTACCTATTCCGAGTACAAAATCATGAACTCATACAAAATTTCAAAACTTAATCTACCTGACCAATTGAATAAATGAAAACGAAAAGAAGTTGCTGGTGTAAGTAATTCGTGTATCAGTTTTGCTTTTGCCGTAAGACTACCTAGAATAACTTTGTATAACAACCGTATTGTTATATATTCCTTCGGCTGATAGATTCATCAAAAACACTATGATTATAACATTGGTTAGTGTATGACTATAAATTCATTGTATAATTTATTATTAAATAATGTCAGTAGCAACTTGAAAACGTGAACCGCTATCTTTCTGTAAAATTCGAAACTGTGTTACATACTCGAAGAAACTGTTGATAATCTGTATTGGTTTTCAGCAGGCAACCCAATTACAAGTTTTTCACTTAATTATCTTTTAATATGAATCATCATCTATATTATTTTTATGTCTATTAGACTATCAATTGAGAGGTTTTTTGACTTTTTTAATTATAAATACAGATCGGATTTGGCGTTCAGATCTGGATGTCTTGTTTGGTTTACGTAATGTATTTGTACAACCATCGAATCAACTATTACCATCTTCATCAGGAAAAACATTGGATCTCTTATCATCTACCAAATTAGAATCGCAATCAAATTTGAAAGATTCACAACATTTACTTCATGATGATAAGTCAACTTGGGATGATTTAAGAGCGATATCACCGGAATTCTTCAATTTAGCTATAGCGTTCTTAATTCTTAGCTTACGTTATCCCAGTGTGTTTTGGTATACCAATCGTGGATTTTCGTTTGTTTTCTCCTTACTACTATTGTTGACGGGTGTGAATGCTTTATTAGAATGTTGTGCAACATCTATACTTGTACGACTTGGCTGGAATCAGTTTCTACTTCCAAGTGAAATTTGGCCAACTGAATTAAAACTTCTTACATTACCGAATCTACCAGCAGGCGATTCGAGTATTGAAAAGAAAACAGTTCAAACAATCGAATCAGCCGAAAGTGATAAATCAGACCCACTTGATGTATTAACTGTGGAGTCAAGTTTTACTTTAAATATTATCGGACCGTTAGCACTTTCATTCTCTGGAACTATATTATTTCTTAGTCTTTTCATAGCAATGTTTGAATATGGTTATCATCAATTCACAGAAAATTTGGCAGCTTATAGACATTATCTTATTGGATCATGTAACGGAAACGGTTATCCACTTGTCAATGGAGGTGGTCTTATTTCTAATGGTGAATTTATGGAAAGACGCAGTAATTGTGGAATGAATACCAATGGTTTATCTTCAGGTAATTTATTCAATCATACAGTGACAGAGTCAGTACATTCAGGTCAAATAAGTGGTGGAAAATCCAGTCACTGTTTAGGTACTAGTACCGATGCAAATGGTTGGACAACACGTAAAACTCGTGGTTATAGTTACGGTGCAGAAATGTTACATACTGGATGTCGATGTTATTTATATTCATACACACCGCATATATGTGCATTGATTGGCAGTTTAATTGTACTTGCTTGTAAAATTCCAATTATGTGGGATTGTATACTGGTATACAGGATAACTAGACATTCTATTTTGTTATTCAGTGTAATCTCAGGAATTGTTGTTATGTTCGCTTGGTTTATTGCTTGGTTCGCATTTACATTAAAACCTGCTTGGAAATTTCAGGTAAGTCAGATAATTGATTATATTGTTACTTAGTTTTCTTGTTTTTGTCTTATAATAAAATTAGTGTGATACAATTAGCAAGTATTGTACACAGTATTTTCCGGAACTCTATTGTAGAAGTTTTGATCATATATATATACTGTTTGATATTAAGAGCAAGATGTTGTGTTACTAGACAGTGGAAGATGTTATTAGTTATCATAATACTCATTCAATATGATGAATCACATAAAAAGCGAAGTTATCAGAACAATATTCCGATGGATTTGTTAAACTGTTAATCTCAATAAATGAATTAAGTTAATGATGAATTGATTAAAGGTATTATAACTAAAACTAGTCTCCAAATGTCTCATAAGTACATTATAAGTTTAATTTTCATCTTGCATAATCAAAATACCAAGTTACCGAGGTATTACCAGAGTCATACTGTTTAATCTACAATACTAACTGGATTTTGTCAATCGTCATTGGAATGTGATTACTAAACTAAATGAATAAAAATCATGCTGTAATCGAAAGGAAATTCCTTTTTACATGCATTCGGTGACAATATAAATATCTGAAGGTGATGTAAAGGAACTTTAAAATGTAACTTATTGATAATTATTTCAATTGAAACTAAAAGATCAATCAATTATGCTACATCTATTATTGATAAGAATAGAATTAGAATAATGAATTTACAATCTTCAATTGTGATTATTTCTGCTAGAGAAATTCATGGACCAAAGTAATAGATCGAAATAAATAAAAAAGAGCTTATTAATAGCTAAACTTAATCGATGGTTCTTTGAAATGTATACAATTGAAGTGGAAGCTCTAAATATTTATCTTGGAAATAGCCAAATAAATCAATTCTACAACTATCTTTATCAAATAAAACTGAATATCTACAGGCTATATTCACTACCAGATAAAATAGAGTGAAACTTATCTTTTTATATTTCATTCAATTAAACACTTAATAAGGCTTTTTCATCCAACTCCTAAGTAGCAGTGACCATAACTAATTACTTACTTACTTATGCCTGTTACCCCTCATGAAGGACATAGGCCTCGCACCATCACTAAGTGATTAACAATTTGTTTTAATTATAAGTAGCACAAACAGTCAATAATTTATTATATTTGGACTAGTAATTCATTTGTAATTAATACAGAGTTGGTTAATATGGCCTAGACTAAAATCTAAGTAATTCCTCTCTTCTTACTTACCATAAAGGAAGTCTTAAAATTTTCAATTCTGTTGTCTCTCATTTCCACAAGAGAAAAGATTTGGTAATAATAAATAACAATAATATATGCTTCTTGAAAGAACTAATTTTGGTTACTTTTTGAAAGAGAAAAAAAACTAGATAGTAGGCAGTTTTTGTTTAATATCTTCAAATGGGCGTCAACTTCCTCATACCATGTTAGTGATTGTTTTAACAAACCGAGGAGAGAAACATAAATGACAATTACAATTATCCATACATAAAATATGCATATATATATTGTAGTTATCTTTATTTTGAGAACATACATTACTCCATCTTACAACCATACACGTGAATATATAAATGCTTTGCGGGGAAAAGAGAAAGATATACTTTCCGGTAAACTTTTTATATTTTTATCTTCACACGCTCAATAGGGAGAATTTATTCACCAAAACACGTCTTTCAAATTAGTCACTATGTAAAACAGTTTTGCATTGATTTCCAATTATAGACAAAGATTTTAAAACGAGTAACATGACAGTAAGAAAACAGATAACTAGTGGATTAAGATTGTAGTAAAGAAAAATGGAATAATACAAACTGAAAACCGTATCAATACAAGTAAGCATAAAATCTAGTAGACAAGTAATTTGATGACAAAGGTCAGCTGCCTATCTCATGAAATAATCTAATCAACTTTATTTACAAATAAAGTTACTGGTTAAAATAATAGTGAATAAAAATTGTTTGACAGTATTTGTTGGTATGTATGTGACTGATTTTGTTTGTTTATCATTGAAAACATATGATAGACACTATTATCAACTCTAGTGTATCAACTTGGTAGTTTTGTTGATATATTCAATAAGCAGAATGTCACTAAACCATGATTTGTGACAGTACATCCATGTGGGGAAACATGTGAGCCACATCCACATTCTACTATACACGTACATATACTTATATATTTATTCAATAAACAGTAGTTTTACAAAAGAGAAAAACAATTCTATTCGCTGTTTCCCGGGAAATTTCATTTAATCATATTCAATTAAGTTAATTAGTTTTTAAATATTATTTAGTTCCGAAATCTTCTGTTACTTATGATTTTGACAGAAAAAAAGGCTTTTTCAAGCATTAACAATATAGTAAGTATATTCAAGGATATTTGCAGTGAATTAGATTGAATAATTGATAACACACTTTTCAGTTCTTCTGGCCGGTAACCAGTCTGATATGTATATATATATATATATATATATATATATATATATATATATATATATTCGATTTACGTTATCAATCATAGGAAGAAATCAGTTAAATAAATTGTAATCTAAGTTGTCTTTAAAAAAATCTTAATAATCATTTGAGAAATATTAATGTTGAATGGCAAGATAACATTTCCTCTGTTCAGTAATTTACTGTGGGTGTTTGACTAATAATGATCTAGGAAAAATTCATTTTCATTTAAATCGAGAACTTCTAGTTAGTCAACATCAAATGAAAATCTTCCGTCTGACTACAAGTTTGTTTCCAATGTCAAGATTCCGATTCGAATAGATAACGAAATCATCACATGGTCACTATTTTAATAATGTGATTAAATGAATTACAATGTCTGAATATGACTTTGTTTAAAAAGTAGGTAAAGATAAGCATACATGACTCTCATGATGAGTGTGATTTAAAACTGCCACTCTCCTTCCATCTCTCTCTATATATATATTTCAATGAAATGCATTTCAGTGTATTTGTCAGTTACTTAATTCACATTGCAATTATTTATTTAATTGATTTTTATTAACTATACAACACCTACCAGTTTTCAGCACATTAAAATTTTGTGTAATCATAACACTTAGAAAGACACCTAATTACGTAGTAAGACAGTTGAAGTTGTCTATCAGTGAGTTAGAAGTCAAGAGAAGCTCTAAGCTTAGTTTTACAGGCAGATCATGATAATTGTAATTTTGATTCGGATTATCTCTTATTCATTTTAACATACCATTTGTATTACAACTAGATGGTTTTTCGTTAAATTACCACCTTTAATACTTTGTTTGGTAAAAAGAGATTCCTCACATTAATCTGGTATCTGCTTACAATACACTGATTATACAGCTCTGCTAGATTTCTAAAAAGATTACCATTTTAATATGTTCACCATTTTTAGTCAACCGAATTGAAATCCATAAATGTTTATCAGTTCCTATATCTCATTGTTCTCTGTCCATTTTAAATTGACGAGTTAACGTTCTTTCTGGTTTATATTCTAAAGACCGTCAAATATATTTTTTTGAGGGAAATGTGATATGAAGTGATTGTTATTAAAATCATTCAACATTACAAGTATATTGAAAAGACAGTTGCATATAAATTTCGATCTGTAACCATTTGTAACAATGTCTTTGATTAGCTAAATTAACTTGTTATAATAACGTATATAGAGAATAGTAATTTTTATTATCAAGCATTGTTATAACTTTCAACTCGTAGTCTGCTTAGCATAATTCCATTTCATGCAATTGGTTATTTTATTGGTTATTTTATTCATTTACTTATTCTAAGATATTTTATACTCCTTCCCTATTATCTAACTCTTAAAATAAATTTTATTCACACATTTCCACCACCTGATCCTCTTAAATTATCTTAACTTTCCAAATTCTATTTAATTATTATTACGTAATCTACCTTATCATTATTTAATTCCATTAATCTCTACAATTATCACACAATTTATGAACTTCACCAAATTATTACACCACCCACTCTGGATTAACCCCCCTCTTTTGACCTCTGACCTGTTTCTAGCATATATATATAGTTATTATTGTAATCCAGTAATTTACACTTCATGTAACGCAAATTCTATCACAATTTTGGTTTGTAAGCAGCTGACGAGAAACCTCGATCTAATATGAATTCATACTATTCTGCATCAATGTTTGTTCTTGCTCTATTTATAATTCCATTTCATACTAATTTTTCAATTTAATGAATTTGATTAAAATAAGAACAATTAATGTAACATACTAACATTATATTTGACGGTTTCTCATTAGCTGCTTACAACCTAAACCTGATAGTATTAATTTTTAAAAATCATTGTACATACTTTACATCATAATATCGAAACATTTTTCATCAATGAAAACTAGTGAAAAGAGCAATAACTATGAAAAAAACGGTAACAGATGTTCAAATGTTAATTAATGTTAATATATATAAGCTGAATATAAATATATTCTAGAATAAACAATTAAGAACATAGAAACAGTTATTTAGAAATAAGAAATTAATGTTATGATTACGCAATCCTTAAAATTAACTAACTGAGTACAAATCAGATTAGAAGCTAAATTTAATTAATAGTATCATGAAAAGTATTGTGTAACAATCATCTATGAATAAGTACATACCAACATAGCAAGATTTACAAGAGAATCTTTCTGGATACATAAATTTGGTTTAAGTATTTTCAAGATAATTGCTTAGGCAAACCATAGTAAATTCTAAGTTCTTTGTTTAATAATTAACTTGAAGAAGTGTATGAAGCAACGCCCGCCTTATCTTACCAACAGTTGTAACCACCAGTTTACATGTACTTATCATAGCACATAGGAAGATCAGTAAGGAGAATGTGTCCTCATCTTTGACCACAGTCCATAGAAGCTTAGACTAAGAGGAGAACACAATGCCATCTGCTTGACAAAGGTTAAGGTGTTGATGTCTCAAGAGGCTGAACACTGGTAGGTGTTGCATAGTTAATAAAAATCAATCAAATAAATAATT